TCTTAGCACGTTTAATTTCAGATTCAGATTAATTCAAATAATTTATTTCTATCTGTCACATGTATAGCGTGGAATGAGAGATCAGTTTACAAAGTAAGAATTGAAACATGGCTGGAAAATTAAGTTTTGGCTAATTACATCATTTTACATAGTAAGAAATCATATCAAAACGATGGGTTAAACGAGGCTCCGAAAGGTCACGTGATGAAATCGGCTATCTCCTATCAAAACAGCGATGGGTGGTAGATACAACAGCGAGTGTCGACTAGCGTTAGTTTGAAGCTGATAATCTTTATCAGTTTCTCTAAGAGTGTGTTATAATTTTGTAAAGATTTTAATTTTAAGTATAACAATATTTGTCCCAAAATTCAAACGTTTTGGAAAAAATAATGAAATCTAATAAACTGGTCTCTTTAATCTTACTATGTTAGTTCAGAATGCCAAGTTATGTAGCTCATTAAGATATGCTATTCATTTGTCCTAATCCATTTTCTTTGTGAACATGATGTTTGAAGCAACATGTTTTAAATCATTAGAAATGATAATTAGTGCCTGATATGTGAGGTTTTTTCAATGCAACAGAGCATATATATAATAAGAACCAACATAATTCTTAGCTGTGAAAAATAGAATCACAAACTTTTTGATAAGAAAAAGGAATGATATGTCAAAATATCACCACACGTTTATATCAACATATGTCTAATAGCAATCATGAAAACAACACAATATGTAAAATGTACAAATATTTATTGTTACCGTCGTTTTTTGTTCGACACAACCGTCTCTCTAGCAAACCGTCCTCAACCGTGACATGGGGGTAAGTTTGAAAATATAGCTTAATCCCCGTCAAAAATATAACCTTTTGGTTGTCCATATTTCTCCTCACAAATCATGTAAGGCAAAACCAGCTGCTGTTCACGTTTTTGACAATTTTAATAAAGTTTGAAAAAAGCACTGTAACTTCTGAAAAATTTCTAATCCATGTCTCATTGGAAAAAAAGAAAGGAGAAGACAAGGAACAATTCCAAAATGACTATCAGCAAATTTGATAATCCTACTGGAACCTAGCCCCTAACCATCCCTTGGTTATGGAGGATGGGGGAGTGGATGAGGAGCCCCTAACCATCCCTTGGTTATGGAGGATTGTGGAGGGGATGAGGAGCCCCTAACCATCCCTTGGTTATGGAGGATGGGGGAGGGGATGAGGAGCCCCTAACCATCCCTTGGTTATGGAGGATGGGGGAGGGGATGAGGAGCCCCTAACCATCCCTTGGTTATGGAGGATGGGGGAGGGGATGAGGAGCCCCTAACCATCCCTTGGTTATGGAGGATGGGGAGGGGATGAGGAGCCCCTAACCATCCCTTGGTTATGGAGGATGGGGGAGGGGATGAGGGACTAACACCGGTTGATAGCGGTTGTATCTTTATAGGACTTTCGTTAGCTAGTTTTACAAACAAAAGAACGATAATTAAACTTATATGACACGATACAGTGTTCGATTCTCAACAACTTAAAGTTTTTTCATATAAAAATTAACCTCACCCATAATAGTTTGCACATAAACGCAGTTTTAGCGATTGTCATGACAATATTGGTGAAGGGAAGTAACTCAAACTATGAATTTGGAAAAAGTCTGAATTACGTCCCTTTGGCCAGGTGATAACAGGAATTTGAGCAATTCGAACGAAAACGGTATACACACATGAGCAAGTTGAAAAAGTAATTAGAGCGAGCAATATAGAAACGGCATAACTAATCCGACGATAGCCTAATTGCACTTAACAAGGAACAAAATATTCTGTCAAAGCTAGATACAGTGCATTCTTATCAACAGAGCGAAATTAAAATTCGAAACTTAGTTTGATTAAAAAGAAAACAACAACAATAACAAAGTGATAACGAAACTAGCACTATTCGAAATAATCTACCATCGTAGATTTTACTGTTTAAAAGGTATTTGCGATGCAACACATGCATATTTATATAACATTTCCAGAAATCAACTCGAGCCAAAAGGAACATGATACATGTTAATGAATGCCCTCACATTCAAGCGTGAAGTACTAAAAACCATCTATTTGGAACGTCCATGTTATAAAATTAATATTTCCAATTTTTTTCCCAAAATTTTTAAAACACGTCATACTGGAATGTCAGATATGTACCAGATTTTTCTCATTCAGTTCGCTGCGTGTAATGAAATCATTTTAATTCCGCACACTTTGAATTTCAAACTCAAATTCATGATGATGAATTTCCAAAGCAATGAAGTGTAGTCGAGGTTAAAGGCAAATTTCTCTATGTTTGCTTGACAATTGGCTGAACCAGAAAAGTCTGACAACACGGAATTCCATAGCTACACCAAGCCATTTGTACACAATCATGGATCTTTCTCTCCTGAAATGACCTTAACCTTACACGACGCCACGTTATATAAAAAAGGCATGTTGCATGATCTAAAAATATATATATATACATGATATTGTACAATTTTTATCATGAAGAGTCTTCCTTTTTCAAATGTGTTGACACACCGTTTTCTGATAATGCCTTTTTTGTAATTATTTGAACACTTTCAGCACTCTCATCGTTTGGTGACCGACCGCCATTTTTACTAGTTGTGATGGGAGATAAGTCTGTGAGAGTTGGGGAATCCGGAGGAGAGTTTTGTGATTCCGACTTTGTTGACGACGAATCTGAAGGTAACGGTCTGGGTCGTCGTTTAGCTTCGTCTTTTTTCCATTTCATCCGACGATTTTGGAACCAGATTTTTATATGTCTCTCCGTCAAATTCAACATGGCGGCCAGTTCTATCCGCCTTGGTCTCGAAATATACTTGTTGAAATGGAATTCTTTTTCAAGCTCTAGCAGCTGACCCCGTGTGTAGGCTGTGCGTGTCCGTTTGTTATCGTCCTCAATAGGAAACTGGGCACCTGTCGAGTACAAAAATAAAGTTAAAAATCAGCAATACGCCCTGATATATTTATTGGTTTCAATTATGTACTGAAACTATAAATAGTGAAATACTTATAATCTGGTTAAAATAGTTTTCTAATAATATCATATTGAAAATTGGTTTTGGGTTTATGAACTGTTTAAAGACTTATAGACATTTGAGCCAGTTATGACATTAAGACCAAGCTTGCGAAAAATACAAGTAATTTGGTAGTAATTTATTGATTCTATATGAATGGCGTTTACAATTGTGTATATTATGTTAAAACTCCACTGAATCTCCAGGACGTTAAAACTATATCCAACAATAATATGTTCTAAATAATAAATGGGTCATCTTCTCCATTACAACTTATTCCCGTAATCAGTTATGGTTTGAATAGTTCAAGATGTAAAAATGGAGACACGGATAAATAGACAACAGAACGATGTGTCACCAACAACACATGACACTTAGTCTCAACTTTTAGTCAGTGTATATAACAGTATTGAAATGCCAGAGTAAGGCCACACCATCGATTTCAAAGTGGTGCAGGTTCACTGTACAATGTCCGTCTAACTGCTGATAATTTGTCTAAATGGAAAATTTCAAATATTTCTTCAGTTGTATATAAAAAGGAATTGTTCTTATTTCTTATACAAACTAACTGCCAGTGTTCAGCTGTTTTGAGACGACATTCCCATACTTGTTAAGACGAAGGACCGTGATTATATTTAGATAATCAGTATTCTTATAAACTGTATATTATACACCACGGTTTTATTCTAGATATAGATATATTTTTTACGTACATTGTAAGATTTTATAATAAACAGTATGTCATGTTGATGACGCCCAATTATATATAAAGGATCTTTAATGAGTTTTTCATTTCACGCGAAATTTTATAAATGCTATTTTAGCGAACCTTGGCGAGTAAAAATGACAATTTCGAGACGAGTTTTATCGGTAACATCTCTTATCAAATGGAAACAAAGTCATGATACTTTTTCACAGTACTCAAAAATATTAGTCAGGTTTTAAAGAAAATAAAATGTGATGACAAATTTAGACGGCTGCAGCCATTTGTTGTGCCTTTTTCATTTCACGACTTAATGTCAATGTCCGCGATATATGTGACATCACAATTGATTTTGGACCAAAGCAGTTCACGAAAAACGCTGTACGCAAAAATCTTATTTGTGCGAGTGCACCGAATAACAGGCAAATTTGTGATGTTAGTTTGTAGATGACTTCCACAGATAACCCTGAAGCTAAAAATGTAATAACTATTTAAATGTATGTAATTAATCATATATATATATATATATATATATATATATATATATATATATATATATTTTCTTTGTCAATTTGTTTGTTTTCATGATATCGTATGTACAAGACCTCGCAAATAACTGCACACCAGTATTGAACAGTTTTAGGTATGTTCAGTGTAAGTAAGAATTTCATATGATGCCTTTTAAACTAAAAAAAAAAAAAAAAAACAACACAGGAAGGTATATTTTCCATTTCCTGTGCTTGTAAAGATGAATACGAATTAAAAAAAAAATAACCGTTTGAAAAAACATGAAACTTTAATTCGTGGTTTCAAACAGCAACATCGTTTCGTAAATTCGCTCAGGTGGAAAACTTCAAAGTGTTGTAGCATTTCCGATTTGAATGATATGATACAAGAATGGCGACACGTGCGTTATCAGTGACAGTGGACACATAGATCCGTCGTTAGCTGTGTCGTTTGGTGGTATGATCCAGAGATTAGTGTTCGGGGTACCAACTTGTCAGACTTGCCCGCCTTCTGGTCGTAACCTCAGTCTCTAGCTAATTTGTATTATGAACATTGAGATAGCCTTGTCCATCAGTTACCAGTGTTCAGCTAAAAATACCAAGCGTTACAGATGCGTTCTTTATTGGGTTTATCAAGTCAATGTTGATATTTAGTCAAAATTAGATGGATCTAACTGTTAAACAAGTGAACACCTAAAACCCCTACCATCTACATATCGATTTCTATGACAACAGTCCGATCATCACCTGTTCACTAAAAGATCTATAACCTCTCTAAAACGGCAACCACCTTTCCATACACAATTATCATCCATATCTACTGCCTGTCTATAACAACCACCTGTGCACTGAAACATTTTAACTGTCTAATACTTGCCTGTAAAAGTGACCTGTCTATAACAACCACCTGTGCACAGAAACATTTTCTCTCTCTAATACTTGCCTATAACAGTGACCTGTCTATAACAACCACTTGTCTTTATCTGCTGCCTCGTTATAACAGCCAGTTTATTGTCTAATAATGTCTTTTACTTAATAGTATACTATATCATACCTAAAGGTTTACTATGTACTGTAGAATTTGTATTGGCCAGACATAGTGTCCCATAAGTTAAACTAAGGCCGTGCTTTTTTGAAAAGTGTTTACAGAAATGACGAAATATGTTAAAATTTGTGACACTGATACTGTCATCTATCGAAAATCTTCACACCGTCCACAATTACTCCTGTCTGTAATTACAACTTGTTTCCACTTTGTGTTTCCACTTTGTCAGTAATCATCTGTTCATCGTATGACACAGAAGTGAAAATTTACATTTTTTTTTAATTTCGTCTCCAGGCAATTTACATTTTTTCATATCTTTTAACCAAACACATCAATGAATACTCCATATCCTGATCTTCAACATAGGTATACATTTATGAATTTCACAGCATCTTTATCTGGAATTTCTATTTCGGACAGATATCAAACCAAAGTGTCCTGTTTAAACTACAGAGGCAGATAAAATTCTAACACGGGTAAAACTGGAGACCCGCGATCAAGGGGAGGCTACTCTGGTAGAGCTAGCCAGTCTCCGAGTATCTGTCAACACGAGTCCAAACAACCGATCGCCTAAACAGTGGTGACCAAGGACTCCTCCTATATGTTTATCAAAGTGACCGTTCTCGTGTCCGGTAGGTGTTGTGACAGATAACAGCCAACTGGCTGACCGACACTTTTCGTTGTAATGTTATTGACTTTGGTCCTGGTTGTTTGTACCGTAAATGTTGCTAAGATTATACTTGTAACAGAGAGTTCAGTACTTGATAACGATACACCCTCTGTCTATCACTTTTTATTTTACTGTATTTGACACAAATTCAAATAGTGATTACTGATGATTGAAAGTTTTAGAATGACCAATTTCTCTTATCAAATACATGCTCTTATATCAACATTTAATTCTGTCAGATTGAAGATAATCCTTCTACAAAGCTATAGGTTCCTATAGGCGGTCATACCAGTACTATTGGTCTGTGAAAATTTTTTGGGCAGGAGTGGGGTGTGGTATGGGGATGGGGTGTGAGGTGGGGATAGGGGAGGACGGTTGTACCAACTGTACATTAGTTAACATTGGCGTGTGTCACGAACTCGGAAACTTCTCATATAACTATACATCAAAACTGATATCTTGATAAAATTTAACATTAGTACCAGTGCAGGTAAAAAGGATTTTTATTTAACTTGGATATAACTAAAGCAGATTTTTTTTTAATCTTTACATATGGTACTAAGAAAATAAAGAAACTACAATGCAAATGGCCGTCTCTAAAGTGTATTATCTTCTTTTTTTAGAAACTAGAAATCTTAGCCGTACAGTATTTGTTTAGCAAGACCACCAATGAACTAGATACTAACTTCTGGTATATATAAAAGTATTAGCTTACACATTACGAAAACTTCAGGATTAAAAATATGAAACCATTCATTTAGGTCTACTCGTTGATCATGTGCTCAGATTATCGAAAAGTACAAGTGATCGTGATAATAAGCTATCAATAGGTACCAGATAGTGACAGATACGTCGAACTCCAATTTATATATAATTTATTAATCAACATTCATCCAACATTTCCATAATATATGGTATACATATTTCCTGATCTGATGAAAAGTAAGATGAAAAGAAATATTTTTTAGAGAGAGAAGCAACGTATCACAGAACCGAATCAATGTATAACATCAAAACTACTTACTATTGAATACATTAAAGAACTTTAAGATCATAAGGTGCTTTTTGTATAAAAATATACAAGCAAATTTGTCAATGGCAATTAATAAATAAAAAATATCGTTCTGCAACAATTATCGTAGACATCATTTAGAAACACGGAATCGTTATTCAACTTATTAAAACAACATCAAAGTGTAAAGAGAATTTTTTATGTTTTAGATTTTTTCTATTCAAAGTCATCATCACTGTCCAGCACTACCACTACACACGGTTTGTCTAAAACTTCATATCTGTTGTTGTAGAATAGACAACAAGCGCACTGATGACACGGAGATAAGCGTGATGCTGATCCAGATTCTTCAAAGTTTCCCTGGTTACAGTTGACATTAGAGTCTATATGACCAGTCAGGTTTGTCTGGTTAAGTTTTACCCAGGTACAGAAGTCATCAAATGTGAATTCGTTCTTAATGAATAAAGACATGATCTGTCTGGACAAAGCGCTGTGTCTGGAATTGGTTGATTGTGATGGGACGGACTGGATCTGATCAAGATCTTTCTCTAGACATTTATCGTCATTATCAACAGTCGTCATATCATCAGCTTTATCGTCTATACATTCATTTGAAATCGATTGGCGACTTTCATCTTCATTCGAGAAACTGAAGTCTGCACACGTCGATGGATTTGTCTCTTGGTGTTTCTTCTTTTTGTATTTCGACCTAGTTCTATATTGTATTTCCCCGGGAGTGTCGTCTCCCTCGAATGGTAATTCGTCTGAGATATCAGAGAAGAACTTGATTTTACCTACATATGACTTCCGCCGGGTCTGTATATCTGACAATAAATGTCTGTGTCCGTACACAAAGGATGGATGGGCAAATTGAAATATTTCAACACCGTTCGTTTCCTTTATTCTCCAGTCAAACCCATATTCTCGAAAGAGACGTCGTAAATTTGGAAACTGGGGAATCTG